GAAAGCACTGCTGATCTTCTGTCGTCGCCAGGCCCAAGGTTGGTTGCATCTGCTAGCAATGCCGTCATCGTGAGCCTCAACAATCTCTTTGCCAGCTGGTTCGCCTGGGTGCTCTTCTCTGGTGTCCCTTCTTCTGCAAACACCATCCTTCTCACCTCTTGCAACCTCCTCTTCTGCTCAGCCTTTGCTCTCTCTGCTTCGAACTCTGTCTTGCCAAGCTGTTGTGAGGAGTCTGTAAAGCCCATGAAGTACGTCAAAAGGTTGATGCGCTTGCCTCCAAGCGTCTTGGTGCCTATATCAGATGGATTTGTAGCCGTATCCAATTTCCGCAAATCTAAATCTTTGCTCTGTCTCTGCTGGAGCCATAGTAGTCGGCCACTTAGGTGCTTCAACTTCCCAACACCTTCCTTCTGAGCGATTGCTATGCTCGAACTGTTGTCGCCATAGATGACCAACTTCACCTGCTCACCTGTAAGGTGTTCGACTGCAGCTTTCAACAGCAAACCTTCTGAAGCTCCTGACACCAAGGCAACATACTCTGCCTCCGTGCTTGACAACGTGATGTTCTTCTGGGTTCTGGCATAGGAGTGGATCCAATTGCCTGCCAAGAAAATACATCCTGCTGATGTCGAGCTTCGCGTCTGCTTGTTTCCTGACCAGTCTGAATCGCAGGTCACTTCCAGCAACCACATGTGCTCTGCTTCTTCAAACATGGGCGCCGTTGTCAGACCTCGTGTTCTGTTTCTGAACGAGTTGCTCTTCGTCTGACTTCTCATCACCAAATGCATGTCCATGGTTGTAGCCAAATAACCAACCAACTTCTCAAGAGCTTTCCATGCACCTTCTGTTGGACTTTGGAGTCGTCCTGCCAATTCTTTCACATGAAACTGGATGTCTGGCCTGTCACCGGCCATGTACAGCAATGTTCCAACTGCTGACCTGTACATTGGCTTCCTCCAGTCGTCCTCCTCCATGGTCTTTCCATCCTCAATTCCGGCTCCTGGAGTTCTCGATCTCTTCAAGGGACTCATCATCTTCACAAGGTTGTGAATGTACTTTTCATTCACCATCATCTTGGTTTCTGAGGCATCCACCATCAAAGTCCTCTTCAAGAAGCTCAGCACTTGGTCATCCTCCGCAGACACCTTGTAGCGCTTCATGAGATGGTCAGTAACTCTGGCCACTTCTTTCTCTTCTCCTCCAAGGATCACGTCGTCGACATGGACTAGCAAGATCACATCTTGCCCTTTCCACAACGTGGGCGCTTCAGCACATGGCGTAAGCCCTGCCTCAATCAGGCTTTTCCTCAGTTCTTGGAACCATTGTGCTGCACCTTCTCGTTGTCCTGGAAGAATTCGGCCAAGAATCCATTCCTGCTGAAGTCCAAGTCGTTCTGCCAATGCCTTGTCTAGGCTACCTTTCACCTTTCGTGGCTGTGCACACATGTCCATGGTGATCATCTTCCAGCCTTTGACTTGACAAATGGCTGGTACCAGTCTCAGGAGTGAGTGTCCTCCCGCTGGTGCAAAGACATCTGTCCTGTTAGGATCACACCAGGCAAAAACAAGTGCAACCAATCTTGCCCTTCTCTTCCACCTGTTTTCTCGCCACCGCCAATCCATCACCAACTTTGTTGTGAGCAATGGAATGTCTTCCAAATCATCATTCTTTCCTGGTGGCAGTAAAACTGTCATGCCAATCAGCCTCTGAATTTCTTCCTTTGTGGCTTCATCTTCAATCTCCGAAAGCTCAGCCTCTGGCAACTCTGGAGGTTGATCTGGAAACTCCAAACTCTCATCTCCATCATACAGCAGTTCTCCGGCAACCACCATGCGAATTGTCGAAGCTGATGCCGGTTCCGGTTCATCCTTCTCTGAACTCCCTTTGGTCTTCAACATCTTCTTCGGTGCCGACCTTGCCACTTTCTTTGGCATCTCATCTTCCACATCTCCTTCTCCACCTGACCTCTTTGGACTATCCATGGGGCTTCTTCTTGGACTGGCTGGTGCCTTGTCAACCTCGCTCTCAACCATAGGTTCCTCCAAACTCTCAAGCAGGTCCTGCAGCAACGTGTCATCTGTGTTCACCAGACCTCCTTCATCCTTTTCTTCATCTGGTTGTGTTGGAGTGTAATCACTCATGTCTGGATCATCTCCTTTGCTGCTTTCTTCATCTGCCCCTGCCTGTCTCTTCTCTCCTCGTCCTTCTTCACCCCTCAGCCTCGCCTCATCTTCTTTCTTCTTTGCTCTCTCCTCCTTAGCCAACTTCTTCTCTTCTGCTCGAATTCCTGGGGCGAGATCTGGCGGTAATGGGACCGTAGGAAATTTGCCAACCAGCGAAGAAGCTTTGGCACCAATCTGTCCAAACCCAATGTTCCATGGCCAGAACTTCACATACGTCACGGCCTCAGGGTCAAAAGGAGTCGGTAGCCTTCTGATGGTTCTTGTCCACTTCAAACCTGCAGCTGTTGCTACCATGTGGAAATCTGCTCTGTCTGTCTTCCCAAGCCATAAGCCCGGTTCAAACTTATCACTGCCGTTGGCTCTTTTCACCCTTGCCAACACTCTTTCACCAAAGACTGCAACTTTGCCACAGTATTTTCTTCCTGTCCTGGTCTCACAGGCTGGTTCACAACTGTTCCAACCTTTCGAATTTTGGCGTCCACCACCAACGAGTTGCGCCTAAACTGTAGGCTCTTGCTGAACAGGCCGTCCGTGCGTCAATCGTACATCTCCACCTTCTCCTTCTATCTTCCAACCTCTTCTCAGCAGCTTGCCCAATGCAAGTAGTGGTTCCTTGACGTTGGACAGGGCAAAACTCTCCCTTAACTCGACCAAATGGCCGTCTTCATCCTCAAGCTCGATCATGGCTTGGCGCACGCCGCCATTTGTCATCTTTCCTCCTTGAGCATCTCTCAACGAGGTCTCCCGATCAATCGGGAATCCCACTTCTCGGTAGCTCATGGCAACCACCGAGATGTCAGCACCTGAGTCGAGGATCACCATTGTTCCATCTTCTCCAGCGACTGTGCGAACAAAGTCAACTTTGTTGCATCCCTTCCTGTGGGGCCTCGAACCTCCACCACCGACCAAGTCCTCAAAACCCACAAAATGAGCTTCTCCTTGGCCTTCACTTGGATCCTTGAACATGATCCAATCTTCATCATTGTCGCTGTAGGTGAGGTCATAGGTCTCAGTCCAAACCATCCGGACATGCCCAACTCGATTGTCCTCTTCATCCTCAGGAAGGATCACCGTCTCGACCCTTCTGACATTCTTCGAGCTTGTTGATGGCGTCGTACCTGATGCCTGGGCAACACTTGCACTGTCTCCCACTGAAGTCGTGACAGTGGAAGATGTCTCACTGACTTGTCTCAATGCCCTCATTGGACATTCCTTGCTCCAATCCTTTGCCACCACAGACCTTGCAGGTGTCTGAAGATACACCTTTGCCCTTTCCCTTGGCATCTTTGCCTTTGCCATCCTTTCCTTTGTACTGCTTGCCCTTGCCCTTGTAGTCCACGTTGGCGTAGTTGCCAAAACCTTTCCCTTTCTGCTTGCCCTTGGACTTGCCGCCTTGTCCTTTCCTTTTCCTTTCCCTTTCTCTTTACCTTTAACTCTGTCAACATCCATGGGGATCACCTCATTGCGCCTGTCGTGGTCCTTAGTGATGGCCAGTTCCTTGTAGATTGCCTGGCTTCCCCATGAAGTGGTGGTTCGCTCATAGGCCAACATCTTCTCTGGCCTCCTTGTAGGACGTGTCCTCCGTCATCTGCAACTGCAAATGCTGTCTGACACCTTGCCATACTCTTCAGCCAACCCCTCCAGACCAAGCAACTGCTCGAGCATGGTCATCCCCTTGTCCTTCGTGAAGTTGGGGTGGTTGAGGACGGCTTGCAGCAAAGCGATCGACCTCGATCTCGTCTTTGGAGCCAACTGGAGGCTCAGCTGCCTCCACACCTCATCTCAGCAACTTGAGAGGCCTATTCCGTAGCAGCCCAACCAAAATGGCATAGAGCTTCTCTGACCTTCCTTTCTCTTCTGCTGTCATGCTGGAGAGCTTCACCTCGCTTTCTGAGCCCTCAATCGTGTCCAGCTCCTTGTTGTAGGCTTCTTCGGCGAAAGTGATCCAGCTGTTAAAAGCTAATCGCCAGTCTTGCCATTGGGACAGCTCTTCTTCCATATTCTTTGGCTCAAAGACCTCTGGGGATCTCACCACCTTGCTTGCTGCAGCGAATCCTTCGCCACTCTTCTTTCCTTCTTTCATCTCTTTCAGCGTCTTGACCGCCTCCTGGGCCATTGCGGCTGACTGCTGGCTAGCGGCCACCAATGCTTTTGCCACCTGTTCATCCATTTCTTCTTTTCTTCTTCTTTTCACCTTCTTTTCTTCTTCACTTCTTCTTCACTTCCCTGGATCTTTCTTCTTCTCCCGGGGTATATTTATTGAGCCCCCCGGGTCGGCTCCGCTACCATGAAAACACGTGAACGAACGTGCGACCGCCCGGTTTTCGTCTGCGTGGACGAGTCTTGAACCTGTATGTTGCGGGTATACCACAGCACTGGTAACTGCTTTACAAATATATATATATTGTTTAAAGAGCCGAGATATGTCACGCACACGCGAGCTCAGATATGATCTACGGTATGTTAACACGTTTGATTTTGCATATATATCTGTTTGGTGAAGCAAGACCCCAGCAAAAGTTACCGAAGCAGAATCCCGGCGCTAAAGCAACTCACCCAAGCAAGATACCAACAAAGCAATGCTAGCAAGAGTAGTGTTACCACCTCCGTAGCAGCAGCTAGCAGCAGATGTACTTGTAGCATACCTACAAATGCAGCTACATAAGTCTCAAGTCTCAAATGCATTGATGCAAATCTGTATTGAAGACCCTTTCTACAAAAGAACCCTTTGCAACGCTCCCGGGAAAACATGTTTGATTCTATTTGTTATCAAAAAATATCTTTCTCGAAAAATGTGTGCGGGGACGCCGGAACTGCCTCTTCCTCGTCCCCATCTTTGGCAAGCCCGAGGTCATCGTCATCACTTTCTTCATCAAGGCCAAACTTCTTGAACTGCCGAGGCAACCAGCCATGCAAAGATTGGCCACCATTTCTTGTTGGCACCATGCGCTACAGATTCAATATGATTCAATTAGGTGAAACAAAACCAACAATACCAACATGTTCCGTGTTGTATCATCTTGGCTGGGGGCACCGATGGAAGACCTCCTTCTTGGCGTTTCGGCACCGGTGCGAGCTTGGAGGGATCACTCATTCCAAGCCACTCCTGACACGTTACAGTAGGATCTTGGCAAACTCCGGCAAATATAGATCTACAAAGGCCCGTCCTTCATCACTCGAGACCAAACATCATCATCCACGACCCAAGGGTCCTGCGCACGAATGTATATAACTCCTTCCAAAGACTTCCCTCCCAAACCTTGCTTAGGATGTTTTGATTGGTAAGAAGCACAATGATGTCAAACACAAATGGTTGAAGATGGTTGAAGAATCGGCGTGGCCAAAAGTTCACGGCCTCAGGGAAATCGCCTTTGTCTTCGCCAAGATAATCCATGAAACCCTGGCAGCAACATGTGATCGATAGTGCAAAAACTCCCGAAGAGTTCAATGTGTGGGCACGGGCTGGCAGTAAAAGCACTGTTGCGGAAAGCAGTATTGAGAACTGAGACAAATATTTACTATCTTCAAAGTTTTGGCAGTGTCTGCTTGGTTGAAAACACGTGCTTTGTTTTTTTGGAAAGCCAACGTTGTTCAATTTCGATTGGAAGGGCTTCAGAATGCTTTAACCTCTAGCACGGATGGAATTTGGCCTGATCTGCCTACAGTTCTCGCCACGTCTCACAGCTCGGGCAGCGGGGTCAGCCCAAAGTGTCTTTCGTGAGAAACAGGGCAGAGTTTGCGCTCTCAAGCAAACCGGCTATGTTTGCGCAGAACACATGTCCACGCTGCATCTTCTGCTATGCATTATGCCGACGGGAAATTGCAGCTCCGGAGATAGGCAACATCAAGTTTTCCAAAAGTGTGGCGAGAGATGGCGAGAGTGCCTCTTGGAACTGTGGAACCAGGCTATGTCGATTTCATCTCCCGTGTCTGTTGCCTTGTATGGATGCAATTCTCATGTTGGCTTGGTCAAAGTCTAGTCCCCCGCAATGTGTCCTCGAACTTCAAAACGATATTCAAGGCATTTGCATTTGTGGTTCCAACCACAGAGTTTTTCAGTGTACCTGATCTAGACAAGTTCAATCTGTACTGGGCAAATCGCATGATGTCCTCTGGGCCCGCGGGTGGCATCGCTGTCTTTTCTGTGTAAACCTTTTCGAACTTTCTGATGTTTTATATTTTAAGATTGCATATTGCAGCTGAACTTTGTGAGAGACTCTTAGGCTATTTGCATCTGTTTGCGCGTTGGGCGTCACATGTCTTGCCCTTTTTTAAATGTGGCTTTCCTCAGCCCTCAAAATGCTTCGGCCGCCTGCAGATCTGCACTTGCTGCGCTTACTCACAAGCAATTGCAATTTTGAACGGTGCCTGTTTCTATGTGACATACAAATCCCATCAAACCCCTATGTTTATATACATCCACATAATTGAAAGATGCTTAAAAAGTAGACTGGAGCTGAGTAGACATGAGATGAAGTGAGGTAGGGATAGAGCTGAAATGCCCAGTTCAGGACAAGTACGAGAGGAGTACACTAGGTATAAAGGTGCAACGGGCTGAGTAAAAGAAGACACGCGTATATAGTGTGGGGATGTGTAAGGTGGAGGGACTAAACAAGTGGTTTTCTGAGATTTTGTATTGCGCAACTTCTACTCCTATGTTGTTCCACCCGCCTTTTTCAATCCTTCCTTGCGTTGGAGATATAATTCAAAGATAGTGCACAGTGACAGCATCTACCTTGGCATCATATCTTTCCAAACACTTGCTCCCTAGTCTCCTTCATTCTCCTTCTAGTCAAAGGCGTCAAACGTATTCAACAGTGCTATTTGCTTTCTGGCATCTTTGGAGACTTCAGGGGCCTGTCTTTAGCCTGCAAAAAAAATCGACATGGCATTTCAGTGCTAAAGCCCCGTCTTGCTTGTTCTCACGACCCCCTAACGAGGATGTGAAAATGAGAACGGGGTAGACATAAATGAGCGGCGTGACTACAACATGTCTTCGTTATTCTCGCAGCATCCACCTCAAGAATCCATTCAATTCAGCCAAGTTCATGCAAATATTCCGATTATCCGCAAAAACAACCATGCTCAATTGACGATGCCCCAGGTTGCTCAAAAGCCACTCATTCTGCAGAAATTGGAACTAGGAACGTGTAGCCACAACACACCCCACTGGGTGTGTTGCGCTTGCAAGCAGCTGCCTTCCTCCTACATGGAAGTATGAGGACGGGTCATTTGTTCAATACTGAGTGACGCCCAACACTTGGAAGTGACATGATGTAGTTCACTTTGTCCACTGCTCCTCTCTTTTGTTGCAAATGGCCTTCGCCAATGTGCGCTTCACGCTGGTAAATTTCATCTCTCTGAAAGTGACCCCGCTCCTTGAATGAAAGTGGATTCCCGGGCTTTCACTTCTACTCCAAAGCAGGATGGACAGGGGATCATCTGCGCACACAGATCAGGATCATCTGCGCACACAGCCAAGATCATCTGCGCACACAGATCTGGATCATCTGCGCACACAAATCTGGATCGTCTGCGCACACAGGGCACATCGGGTGGGGTGGGGTGGGGCTAATGACGTTCACTTCGACTAGCATTCATATCTAATATCCCAGTGTTGAAGTAAGGGTGCGGTGGTGGGGTGGGGTGGGGTTGGGGTGGGTTGGGAGGGGTGGGGCTCACACACATCTGAGCACCCTGGATCAACATCCGGCCTTTGCACCTACCGTAAGAACCCAAAGTGTGGCCAGTGTTTAGGCATCCCGCATACGGAAGCCGCGTGTACATACGATCCCCGCGTGTACAAACGATCCCCGTCACCGCGTGTACAGACGACCCGATTTCCACGTGTACAGACGAACCCCTGTCCAGCAGGATGCAAATTGGCTTCACTTGCAGCCCTTGCTCACCTTGCTTGTGGCCCTGCTGCCTCGATTCACGGTTCCACATGTTTGCCAATCCCCTGGCCTTCTCCCTTCTTCTTCGAAGCCGTAACACTGTCTAGTGTTGTTCGCAACGCCAGGACCAAAGCAAATAGGATCGTCAAATCCACAGTGCAAGAGCCGGGTGAGACTTACAAGTGTGTACGGAAGCAAAATTACAAGTGCTGATGGTCAAGGATCTTTGGGATATTTCTATACAATACTCTATAGATACTGCGAGTGCACAAAGGTATTGTGTGGACTTGCACTAGAAATGCTGGAATATGAGATGAATGCGCAAATTTGCGGTAGCAGTTCAAGATAAACAAATTGATATTGTATGTAGAATCTATGTGTCACTTTTGGTTTCCTGATCAGTCGAGTTGTTTGAGCGTAGTCTATCTGCAAGTATACAAATGTTAGTTACCCCTTGATGTTAGTTCTAATACTATCTGTCGCAATTCTACTCCAGCACATTATACAGTATACAAACCAGGCATTGCCTGGGTTTGAAACTCTGCCTGAGCCATGCCACCTCAAAATGCCAGCATGAAAAGGATTCATTACCATTCTATCCTTTAAAAATCTGGGATCTCTGCCCGTTGAGCCTCGACTTTGTAGAACATCTCTAAAGGGACTTGGTGAAACATCTTGTCGACAAGCTGCGCAGGCCTGGTAGAACTCCTCGAACTGTTGCTCAGACATCAAAGACTGCAAAGGCTGGGTAGGAAAGAGTCTGGGCAGAAACGCATTTATGTCTCTGTCTGTGATTGCAAGTCTGCCTTGGCTTGAGCAGCAGATACGGTGTGGCTATCAACTTGTTTCATTGCCTGTGTCGATTCAAACATTGGACACATGACGAACTTGACAGGCATTCTTCCACTGCACAGCGCCTTGACTAGCTCATCTCGCAAGATATCCCTTCCTAGGGAAGACGAACGAACGGTTTCCAGGGACATCCCATGAACTTGAAACTTGTGGAGTTTGGTCTACCGACTGCGCGACTCCATGTATACAAACGTTGTCAAATGTACGCTTATATGTATGTCAACGCTGATAAACGGCCCCGCTGGGAGTGTCGTGAGACGTATTCAAAATAAAGTTGTTTGTGTCAACATCAGCGCCACTCATACGTATAGCATATAAATATGTAAATAAATATAGTAATTATATATATACATATGTGCATACACACTTGGATCATGGCTCGCAAGAGCTGTATCAGTTAATGAAACCCCAGATTTCTGCAAGTAGACCTTTGCACTCAGTTAGACCTTGACTTGAATGAACTGCAGGAAGTGCTGGGTCAGATCAACAGAAAGTTTCAACCAAGCGCACTAGCCCCTTAAAGGAAGCTAAAAATTCTTGCAGGTACGTCCAGAAAGTGTCCTTTCTGGATATCACGACCAACCAATCACTGTCTTCATTGGGCAGTGAGTGATACTGGTCCACTGCCCCCCTGCACTGTACAACGGAGTTTTCCAGCTAGTATCTAATTACATGTGGCTAGAGTCCTTAGCGTGGCCGAAATCCTTGGGAACAGGAGTTGACACACACACAAAAAGCTGTCTTTCGGCGCTCCCTGATTGGCAAGGTGGGTGGGGAAGAAACATGACATAGTCCGTGCAGGCATAGGGACATGCTCATGCTCTCAACTAAATCAGTGGCCGTCTCCGGAAATGGATTGAAACGAGCAGCAACACTTTTCTGTGGACCGCTCGCAAGCGTTGCGCTAAATCGTGCCCTTTTTGAGCATATAGGTGGGCCAGGTGAGCGAGCGCTCGGTCAGCGGCTGAGGTAGGGTAGGTGTAGTTGCGGATGAGGTGTGCTCGTGAAGTGAGACCAGAAAGGCGTAGTCGTTGGGAACCAGCGGAAGCATAGTGTGATCGTGCGTTGAGTGAGATCCACATCGAATCCCAGGTGGTGCATGTCCTACTGTTTCCAGCTCCACCGGATTCCCAAAAAAGTCGGGATGCATCAAGGTTTGGACGCCAAAGTGGTTCAGGAAAATGTCGTTGAAGATGACGAAGCGGTTGTGTGAAGTGAACCTGGCTGTGATCTGTCAGGCTGTGGTGTAGCTGAGGCCAGGAGTGTTCACTGAGTGTGATGGCGACATTGCATAATGCTGGTGAGAGTTGGGGTCCAATCCCAGCTCCTCGGGTTTGTTTGTAGTGTGTAGTGCAAGCCTGAAAAATGCAGGTGTCTAGTGCAATCTTGACAATGGGAATGTCTTCGGTATCGATCGTGCGCTGTGCGGGGCGTCGACGATGATGTTGGCCGATGTGGGAGAGCTGGATGGGGTTGCCCGTGGCCAAAATATCGATAGTGAGAGTGGGTGTGTCAAATGTGAAACTCCATTTCGTGGTAAGGCTCTTGACAGCATCGAGCAGTCGGTCTTGCGGTACAGAGTTGAAGAAACCCACTAGGTCGTGGTTGGTGGCATGCTGGTTGATGTGTGTGGGTGTGTTGTTGAGATAGTTGTGGAAGTGTTGCCAAAGCTGTGGGATGGACAGTTGACCTGGAGCTTGCGGAAAGAGACGGAGAATCATGGTGGTGATTGCTGCAGATGTGGCTCGGAGGAGGGAGCCAAGTGTGATTTGGAGTGGGAGATGATTGCGCGACCTTTGTGCCAGTGTTTCTTGGCTTTCAAGTGAACAATGCCATAGAACAGGTTGAACTTGGTGGTGTGGAAAGGCTTGTTGGTCGTGTAGAGGTGTGAAAAGTTCAGGTATTGCCATGTGGCAAGGCAGCTCCTGAAGTAGATCCTGGGGCAAAAGATGAGTAGGTGCTGTAGTTCATGATCAGCGTGATGTAATACGACTTGATTGCCCAGGAAATGCTGCAGCTGTGTGATGGAGCGTGCTGTAAACCGAGGTTCTGTGTGTAGTTGCTGGATGTGGCAGTTCCACTGAGTGGAAAGGAATGGTTGTGCATGCTGGACTAGTGTGGGTGGTAGCCCATGGTGTTCAAGCCATTTGGTCATGGCTCTGTGGAAGTTGTCGAAGTAGCGTCGTTTCGTTGGAAAAAAGGTGCTGCTGCTGCTGCTGCTCATATTGGCGCCAAGGAAGTGATGAAGGTGTGATGGCAATTGGAGGCCGTCCAAGGTGACGATCAAGTGGCCTGCCGTGCATGAGTGCTGAGGATGGTTGAGGAGCTGACTGAGATGTGTGCATCCGCAAGGAAGTTGATCCTCCTGAGGAGGATAGTGGAAAACCTGTTCCCAGCGGCGATGGTTGTGGAGTTGACTTCGTAGTGTGTCGTGAGGTGCTTCTCGAAGCTTGCGCGTGCAGGTGGAATGGGATGGTCAAACATCTGTGCTGGTGAACGATGGCGGTCAACCATCTTTGAGTGTTCTGCTGGAAATCGTTACGCGCCAGGAACAATGCATAGACCTCAAGGTCCGAGAATCGACCTGAGTGGCGTGCAGCGTCGTAGGAGGCTCTGGTGGCTTTGGTGAGGTTGCGGAGAATGGTGTGTGTAGGACGGGCTGTTTAGTGGTGCGGAGTCGTCGCGGTAGGCGCTGAATTGGCCAAGCGGGGGTAGAAGTGGGCCCGATGGCGTGTAAATTGCCAGCCATCTGCTTGGAGTTTGAGGTGCTGGGAAATCAACGGCCAGTTAAAGGGTGGGTTGCCAATTCGAGATGTAGAGGTGTTCGGGGATCCATGCTTGGTCATAATCGGCGTGGGTGGAAATGTGAATGGTAGAGTAGTTTGTAATGGTGCCTGTCGAGTGCCAATAGCGAAGTGATAGTTCTGCTGAAATGGGTGTGTTTGCGAGAGTTGCCTGTGAGGGATGCCAATGGCTGTGGAGCCGACATAAAAGTGTCCATGCTGATGATAGCATCGTTGGGTGTTGCGTGAATTCAAGTGGCTCTTGAGCTAAACGGAGTTGTGAGATGGAGAAGTCCAAGACTGTAGGTGGCTTCCGCTTGCTCAATGTATGTGGCGGTGTGATTGAGGGTAGATAGTGCCTTGCGCAATGTTCGGATGTGTTGCATGTTGGTGGAAGTGGGGGCGCGGAGTGCTGTGAGCGCCAGTCAGCAGGCCATGGCGACGTTGGAGGGAGCAGCGCCTGGGAGGTAGGAATCATCGGACGCAGGTGGCTGATCGTCGAAGAACTCGGACATGGCGATGGCTAGGAGACCAAAATGGAAATGAAATCAGAACTGAATGATAGAATGTTAGAAAAGTGGCTGCGGCGTAGTTCTGTGTGAATTGTGTGAATTGAAAGACACAAGCTTGATTGGTAAAATTCGTGAAAAGGTGGCATAGCGGATCGTTGGTGTATCGGTGATGTGCTTTTTCTTTTTCCGCTGAGTAGGTTCGCTGGGTGAGACAGCGGATGGATCCATAGTCAGGGCGGTGTCGGTGGCATATGGTGGATAGGGTCTTGGCGCCTCACCGAGGCGTGCCACAAGATGGGCTTGCAGGCCCAAGCGACCATCGGGAGAACTAGCCGTAGAGGTAGGTTGGCTAGAAGTTGTCCATGGTGTGGAGGTCGAAGAGGTCGAGTGCGGAGGTGTACGAGACCTGGCGCGGTGAGGAGTAGCAACTGTCTGAAGTGGAAGGGCTCGTCGTTGGGACTGGCGTTGCAGCAGATGAAGAGGTGGGCGGTGGTCAGGTGGAAGTGTGTTGGTGGCTTTAATGGCCGCCTCTTTCAATTGCTGTCCCGTTGCGCCGGTGGACTGGAGCAAGGTCAGAATCTCGTGAGCAGATGCCTGAATGGCATCATGAAGCTGCTTCACCCAAGCGTTGATGTGTGCAATGGCCCATTTCGTGGGCACGTCATCCTTAAGGGACGGGTGTGTGTGTGGGGTGAAGAATCTGGGCGATGTGCTGGGCCAGTGGATGGGGTTGAGGAACGGGTTGGCAGAGTTGAATGGCTTCCGGCGCCACATCAATGAGTGGTTGCGTGAATGCTTTGATTTCGGTGGTCTTGGGTGGTGGAGTATGTCCAGCTGATCGGTGTAGTGCATCTGCGGTGCCATCGAGGTCGACATGCTGTTCGCGCAATTGTTGGAGAATAGGTGTGTGAGGAACGACTCCGCAATGGAGCGTGTTGGTACAATGCTGGTGAGTTTGCCGTTGGATAGTGTTCTGGCTGTGTAGGTTTCAGATTCATTGCTACCTATCACAGCAGTTTGGTGCAGACAGTTTACAAATTCAGCTACGCAGGAAGCATAGCAGAGAAAGAGCTGTGATGGATGGGAAACAGTATTGTAGACTTCGCATCTCCACTTAGGCGGTGTTTGTTGGGTTTTGGTGGCTGAATGCTGTTGGTCATGCAAGCAACCGTGCAACCGTGACTTTGGATGACAATGAGAAGCTCTGGCGCAAATCCATTTTACAGCGGATGTGCCCGGCGCAGTGTGAGTAGCCGCTCAGGTATGCACAGTTGGAATATTCTCTAAATTTTACGCTTGGGTGGCTCACAAAAGGTATGCACCGTTGGGATGGCGCCTTCTTCCTCTAAATTTCATCCTCGTATGGCTCACAAGAGGAATGCACCGTTGGAATGGCACCTTCTTCCTCTAAATTGTGACGGAAACGCCATTATGGCTCACAAAAGGCATGCACCATTGGAATGGCACCTTCCCCCTCTAAATTTTACTTTCGTATGGCCCGTATGGCTCACAAAAGGTATGCGCCGTTGGAATGGCACCTTCCTCATCTAAAGTGGGCCTGCGCTGTAGGTTAGGAGGCCCACAAGACACAAAGCAGCCAAAACAAAAAACACAAACAAACACAAAACCAAAAAATCTGGATTGTGACTCCAAGGGTTGCACTGCAACATCGTGAAACACTTCAAGATTTGTGCGTGTCATTCCTTTACACTGCAACATTGTGGTACACTTCAAGATTTGTGCGTCATTCCTTCGCAATTCAAAAGAATCCCTGTGACTACAAGGGGCACACACACACGCCT